AGCCATCCTTCTTCTTTGGCCTTCGAGACATTTCTTTACCACATCCCCTACACACACCGTTAACTCATCTGGCATCGTCGCCTCAAAGTCTAGAAGCACAAGCACCTCTAGATTGGACAAAGAAAGGGGAAGTCATCATTAGGGGTTAGTATCTATTGTAATGATTTATACAATATTTTACCTTGTAAATTATGTTATTAGCTAACCTATAAGTATCTATAACACATTTTAACATATTTATATCTATTCCAAACATTTCCCCTTAAAATCAATCCAATCCCAATCCAAATAGATAAGATTATTGCACTTTGTCAATCACCAGCCTTAAATTTAATGAATTACCTACAGATAAATGCATCTAATTATGTGAAGGCATGAAAAAAACGTGCCAAAGAGATAGAAGTAGTAGGATTTATGTGCTGTTCAAGTGTAATAGTGGAGCTGGACTTATGAGCAATGCGTTTCAACAGGCCTACAGGTATGCGAGTTGAACCAGAGTGACTTGAACTAAGGAATGTGTATCAGTACAAAAAGCCCTGCGCATGATTCACAATGGCATTGTATACATCTGGTTTCCTGGAAGAAACCCTTTGGTCAATCTGAATCTCAAGTCTCAATGATAGGCAGTTTATGGTCTTGTAAAGTCATAAAAACAACCTTTTATTGAGATTAGTGTCTACACATTTAATGACATAAACTGCCATCTCAAGTTTATTTACCATGTAAATTGTAAAATAAAGTGTAACATGAAAATACATGCAGAGTAAATTAGTGAATGAATAACTACACTAATTTTGTACATCCATCCATCCATCCACAAATGTTTGAAATAATATTAAAATATTAAATTTTACGACAAAAAGCAGCTCATACTAAAACATTTGTCACTTATTTGTAACTTATTGCAAAATTATATTACACTTGTTATATTACATTTCCCATTAATGATGGCTACCGTAACCCAAATATCCCAAACACTTCAACTCGCCAAATCATAACAAGAAATTATTTTAAAATAGGCTTAAAAACTCACCCATGGCTCCTTTAAAGCAGTGCTCAGAGCACCAAGTCAGACAATGTAGATTCTGTTCAGGTCTCAAAGTGTCATGGAGTCCCTATGAATTACCCAATCCAAATACAGCGAAAGCTTTCTAGGACCTCCTTCTTTCTAGTCAAACATTAGCATTGTTGAAGAAAATAAAATTCCCACCTTGTCAAGACACGTTATACAATGAGAGAAGAGAGAGAGATAACAGGTGAGACAGGTTTGTATCGGTATGAACCTCCATGGTGTCATGTGTCACAGCAAACATTACTGACAGTAGGTGTACTCACCTACAAGGAATTCAAGGAAAAACCCTGTTTAAATATAACTGTGATTACGTGAGTATAATCTTTGTAATAAGTGTCTAATTTGTTTTATTGCACTTTTATAGCAGATTGTACTGTGACTGTAGTGCTTTTATTTAGAGCCTGTCAGGACAGTTTACACAGAAATAATAAAGCATTTTTAAAAGACTATTCAAATAGGTGTAGTTCATAATTTGACTGAATTATACTATGATGAATAGGATTATGAAATTATCCTTTGATTAGTCCCAGTGTATAGTTCAGTGGTCAGTTCTATTCTACATGTTTGTTGTTCTGTTCCTGATTTGGTTTTCTTTAGATTTGAGTTCATTTCTGAATATAATGTAGACTGCTGCTCTCAGATTCTGTTTCATCTCTTCTGCAACCAACACTGATGCTAGTTTCTTCTTTTTGACACACAAAAAAAGACCACTCGATAGAAAATTGTTGCTTTTTTATTCTTTCTGATTGTGAGTATATAAATGCAAGTCAAATGTATATTTCAGACACAGTGCAAATCAGAACCTAGACAATTAAAATCCACTCTTGACGATGAATGTAAATTATTCATGTCCCCCCAAATAAGTTTTATTTTTATTTTAACTCTTCAAATAAATTCCCCCAAACATAAATCTTTTTATTAAAATATCGAAGTGCCAAATTGATCACTTCATCCAAAGAATGTACTTAGCCAATAGAAAAAAGGCATACATTAGAAAACCCATAATAAAATATGCACACACATACTGTCAAAACCCTGCAACCCGAGAAATCTAAAATTGTTAACAGTCTTCAAAATATTTTATGTACAACTAAATCTTTTTCCCCCACGTCACTCACTGGGACATGAATTTCTACATGTTGTTTGGTCCCATAGCGAGACTGGGTCATTAAATCAAGATCTTCTTTTCTACCAGCAGACACACAAGGGTCTCAAAGAGTTTCATTTAAGCCCATAAAATGTCAATATGTCAAATGTCAACTTTTTTCAACAGTAATAATGTCCTTTCTTAAGGCAAAAACATAGAACATAACCAGCTACAGTATAGTTACTATATACTGGCATTCTACACTTTAGGCACATCTTAGGCACCTAACATTTGAACTAGAAGCTGACCTAAACAGGTTTTTTTAAACCAATATCAACATCTAGAAAGTAGAGTGTCCGATGACCGATATATATATGGTCACCAGACGATATAATGAGTTGTACTGTATTTGTAACATTTAATAACTATTCACACACACACACAAATGAAATTTCTTACTATCCATAGACAAAGCTGTAAGTTCATATGGTTATATTAATAGCCTTAAAATGGCCAATCAATTGGCCTAGCCTTTATATCGGTCTATCAAATCACTACTTCAAACTGTGTTTTACGTTCGCATGTTTCAAAAGTCTTGTGCAAAAAAGGATTCGTAATGGAGGCACTTGGGCACCAATTCTTCCAGAGATGTAGGGATAGAATGATAAATGTTGGAGCAGTTGCTTTTAACAGTGCCTGTCATGATTAGATAGGAAATAAAAAAGCAATACAATAAAAAGGCCTCTTTCCTATCAAAAAGATTTGGATCCATAATTCTAGGATATCCATTCTAGACATGATGAGGGATCTCCTTGTTCTTCAACGTCTTTACTGCTCCATTCTCACTGGTCCTGTTCTACATCATCTCCTTGTTGTTCGCCCTCATCATCAGTGGCCTGGAATTTATCATGGGCCCATTTAGGGCTCATATTATTGGTGGTTTTGGTATTTGTGGCCCTCCGGAGGATGAAACGTCCCTTTGCACGAACAATGTTACCGCGACCAGACCCGCGCGTGTTCATCAGCTTTCGCTCACCTTCACCGTCTCGTTCACTGTGCTGCAAAGACAGAAGAAGGGCTTACAAAAAATATGGACGTCAATTATGAAACAGTTGTAAGTGGGACTGAAAACTTTGATGGAGAGTTAGTGCGTAATGAAAACATAAACATTGGGGCCAAAAAGTATTTAGTCAACCGCTGATTGTGCAAGTTCTCCTACTTAGAATAATGAGAGAGGTCTGTAATTTTCATCATTGGTACACTTCAACTATGAGAGACAAAATGAGAAAATCCAGGAAAAAATCCTGCAAATCACATTGTAGGGTTTTTAAAGAATTTATTTGTAAATTATGGTGGAAAATAAGTATTTGGTCACCCACAAACCAGCAAGATTTCAGGCTCTCACAGACCTGTAACTTTTTTAAGAAGCTGTTTTGTCCTTCACTTGTTACCTGTATTAATGGCACCTGTTTGAACCCATTATCTAAAAAATAAATAAAAAATAACATTATTGAAAAATGGGATTTCCTGTTTTTTGTTTTGTTTTGTTTTTTTGTGGTAATTTTTTCTCTCATAGTTGAAGTGTACCTATGGTGTAAATGACAGACCTCTCTCATCATTCTAAGTACGAGAACTTGCACAATCAGTGGCTGACTAAATACTTTTTGGCCCCACTGTATAATCAATCCCACCTAACTGATTATAAATGGTTTGGAAAGATTACTCGGTTTAAGCATACCTAATCACCTGTGTTATGTTTGATTGTACATTGTCATAATATTACATGTACAGACCATGAATGTAACTGATAGGTTGCATGGAGCATAACCTACTGTATATTTGTTGTTCTTGATATGCATTTTTATTTTTTTGGTTGGTTGGTTGGTTGTTCAGAAACTGCATTAGAAAAGAGAATCAGAATGGGTGTTTACAACGATCACAACATACTAGGAAATATTTCTTGCTCTTGCTAGTGTATTCTTGATCCCAGTCTTCATTCTTCGCTGACATGTTCATCTGTGAATCACCGTTGCTGTTTCCATGGAAATTTCCTCGGTTCCAACCTCTACCACGTATGCTAAGCTGCTAAGAAACAGCAAATGGAAACCGTAACTATTAAGGCAATAAACAAATATCTTAGTTCTTCAATAGCACTCAACTTACAAAGCCTCCTCGTGATCTTCCTCTCTCCACAGGCTCTCCATGCTCTCTAAACCCCTGCTGGACTCTGGATAAGCTTTCTGGCTTGATCTCAGCCTCTTCTTCATGGTAAGCAGAAGATGATGAGGAAGATGACTGAGAACGCTCTCGTTTCTTTTTGCTTTTCCTTAAGAATTAAATAACATTGGATTCAGACATTGTTGATCAATGTACGGAGGTCTCACAAATCGACTGGATCAGCGATAACAACTTTAGTCGTTCATGTTCAACGTGACTTTATCAGCTCATTTTCATGTCCACTAACCAAAAAGTCACCTTTACCTGTAGCCTACGTGAAGTCGAAGGAAATCAGGACATTTTCAAACACCTGACAAACTATTTTCGACATATTCAAAATATCCAATTGACCAGAAAGACAAGAAGGTGCGTTCACACTGACAGTGATGTAATACCTGAAGGTGACCAAGTTGCTTTTCTGTTGGGCGCAAGTAGGTGAATACAGTTCACAACTGTATCAGGGAGGCAATCATTTGAGCTCTGCTCCCATTGGTAGTTGCTGTATGGTTTTGCAGCTCATATGCAAGTTCAATAGCTCAACATTCGCCCAATGATTTCTGTCACTCATGTCGCCTCACGTCACCAACTCTCATTGAAAATGATTGACTTGTTGTTTCTGCAGATTGCTGACAGTGTGAACGCATCTTCAGGCCTTTTTGAAAGTGTTTATTGAAGGCCTCCTGCGAGGTTTCACGGTTTCATCTTGTTAAATCTTTACATGGCTCAACCAGATTCTTTGAATGTTGAAGCAACTACAATTTTATCTGATGTTGCAAATTTAATGGTTGATCAAAATTGCAGTTTTTAACTACACTTTGAGAAGTCATTATCACCGTGATGATTTTTCACTTGAGGAGTTACAACAAGCCCAAACAGAAATATGATTGTTAGCTGTTTTCTATAAATGAACCTCTGTATTCACAATCACTCTGTAATGTGTATGGATGGAGCATCTTTTCTTATGCAGCTTACTTTGTTTTTTTGTGGTTCTTTGAGGCTTTCTCAGTGGATGTTTCCTTTCTTGGTTCGGGAGATTCCCCCGATACTCTTTCTTCGTACTCTTCCTCTCTTTGCTCTCTCTCTCCACTCAAGTATTTCTTTCTGCGCTCAATATCCAGCCGAAGGTCCATTGAATCACTTTTTGATTTTTTACTATCGACCTGCCGTGAGGAGAAAGAGAGATGTTGTGGCCAGATGTGGGTTAGCGCGTGACCTATTAGCTTCATGCAGCATTGTACGGGGTGGGACCAAAATGAAAAATACAGCAAAAGCGGACTTCAAACAATCATGCAAATGGATGAAAGGAAGAGGCCTTTTCTGATATCATTTTATGAAGCATTTTGGCTTCTTACAGTCTTTCAACAGGCTTATTTTGTCAGAAATGGCAACAGGTCGCAAAATAACATTCGGATTTCCTCGCACTTGCTCATCGAAATCGAAAGATATTCAAATAAACGAAACAAAATAGTAGTAGGCACCATTATAGGACCACATCAGAAATACAGTACTTTCATTGGTGCTCATGAAAGTATGTTGTTTTTACTTTGCCTAAACACTTCACTTGTTCTTTGCAGGCTTTGAAGAAGAATACTTACTATGACTTTTGTTTAGAGTCCTTTGAATGGATTTGACATGGAAACAACTGGTCACTTCCATTTATGACCTCTGATTTCTTGCCTCAACTGCCTTAGGAAGGCTTGTAAAAGGGAAGGCATTTACAACACAACAACCTGAATGCACCTCTTTTTGCATGTCACTTTCTGGACTTTATGCCTCTCTCATCAGAAACAAGATTTTTTAGAGAGAGAAGGAAGCCTAAGAATGCTTTGGCCACATCACTCGCACAGCATTCTTTTCCAAAATACGTCATATTTCAAAATTTTTGGTCACCTTGAAGCTGTTTTCCATGGTGCTTTTCATCTCATCAAACAGCAGAGAGTGTCTCTTAAAAGCACTGGGAGAAACATCAATTCTCCTGTGAAAAAAAAAAGAGGTGAAGAGTGGAATATTTTGATGTATGTTGATCCTCCTTTCTTATAGTCTTAGAAATTGTCAAAACAAATCAATTGCTCATACGTGCATGAGAAATCAGTGTGGGAATTTGTCCTTGAAATTTTTATACCTGTGTATCTCTGGACTCTTTCTCTGCTTAATGAGTTCTTTCTCAGCAGCTCTTCTCTGGTACATGGCAAAGCGGTCATTTAGGGTCAATCCAGAAGAAGGAAAATATTGAGCTGTGGGTAGAATTTTTTTTTAATTTAATAAATAAAGTATAAAAAAAATACAACAAAATATTTAGGGGAGTGTTTACACATTTAAAAACTTTTTGGCCGTTCATTTACACTACAACAGCGTTTGGGGGCCTGAAAACGCAACATTTGAAAAATTATACCGTGATCATCTCCATGTAAACCACAAAATTGCAAGAATTTGTGAACATCATGCACATACGTATTATGCATTCAACTAAAAAGCGTTCAACAAAAACTACAATGGCGATCCGATTATGTACTGTACATTTGTCCCATTATGAATGACACACACACACACACACATATATATATATATATAGTATATATATATAGTGTATATATATATATATATATATATTTGTCCCATTATGAATGACACACACACACACACATATATATATATATATATATGTGTGTGTGTGTGTGTGTGTGTCTGCAGTGTATAATGGGTGTATCATTTTTGTAATTTTACAGAGGGGTGATGGAACAATACAAATACTACGCCCATAACAACCTTCTCACAACCTTAGCCGTACAGGACAGAGAGGTTTCAGTCACCTTTAATGTGATGGACAATTGAAACTATGTGTTGGGCAAACAGCTCAGATGGACTTCTGGGTGACTGCTGAGCCTGAAGATGCTGAAGGACAGCTTGAAACTCCCAATCCTTTTCATCAAGATGCACAAGATCCAGAAGATGCCTTCTTTCATTGGTCAAAACAGATGTTCTGTCAAATAGAACAATGGTGACAATGTGATAGTCAGAAACAGTCACATGCACAACGATGCAATGTTTTGTGAAGATGCCAGTAAAAGCAAAAGATCATTTCTGAGATCTTGGAGGGAAATGAAAATCATTTACCTAGCCAGGTCATCACTGAGAGAATCCATCCTTACACTGAATTCACTTCCTCTTTTCACGGAAGCTCTTGGTGGGGATTCCTCGTTCATAACCACAAACATCTCTTGCTCGCGGCTCTCAGAACTCCTCCTGGGCAGCAGTGTGGGTTTCTCTTTTCGTTTCACATTTGAGAGCTTTTCAGGGGATGGATCCTTGAGCATGCCACTCAGCTGCTCTCTCTTAGAGAGAGCAGCTAGGATTTTCGCTGCTCTTTCCTGTTTATGGCAGAGCAGGAGAGCCTCCAGCTCATCGTCCCATGGCATGTCCTGCATCCTTCTGATTCGCTTCTCGAACATTTCACGAGCGGACAGCGTGACTTTGCCTTTTCTTTTGGAGGAATTGTTTTCCATATCCCTCACTCTATCAGAGATCTCCCCCTCTTCAACTTCGTCCTCACCATCCTCGCACAGAAATGATGGGGTGTTTCGTGGACCCATTTTAGGGGTGCTTATGGAAAACTTTTTACCATCACCACTCTTTGTAGATTTGCATTTCTCCTTCTCTCCTGCGTTGTCATGATCTTTAGTGCGAGACAACTCGATGCCCTTTTCAAAGGTTCCTACATTTTCTTTATCGCATACTAATTCTCTGTTACTTTTCCCTTTGTGTGTGTTGTTCTCACATTCAGAGGCCTGTTTTTTAACATTTTGCTCCTCCAGGAATCTGGTAAATGAGAGAAAGAGATTTACAGTTCTTTATTATTTACAATAATGTGCTCAGATGCATCGGTTGTCATTTTGATGTGACCTAGGATTGCTGCTTCATGTCAAACTGACAGAACTATGCATAAACTGTAATGGATTTGGGTCATTTTACCGTGCACAAATGAATGGCTTCCAGTCTGAAACAGGTAAACAAGTGTGTGTGCAGCAGGGAAGTGGGAATGTATCATTTCTTCCATTTGCAAAGTGCAAATATAAACACTTTAGACTTTTTTTTAGCACATCTAAATTACAGACTGTGAGCTGACATTTGTAAACAAGGCATATCTAGCTCTTCATATTTGGCTCATTCTTCCAACTGCTTTTTTGATGCATTTGAAGAGCAGATTGCAAACCATATATGCAATCTTACTTTTTGTCTGGCACGCACACAGGATTTATTGTGTTACTTCCACTCTTATAACTGACTAAAATAAAGGTAAAAAAGAAAAAGAAAATAAAGCAATATTCAATCAAATATATACACATCTGTCATCAATATTGCTTAAAAGGCTTGAGAAAAATACCCAGCCCTGGGACAAAGAAGTTAAATAATATAGATTATTGGTTAAAAGTTTGAAATGATTAAGATTTATTCATGTTTTTGAAAGAAGTCAAGGCTGCATTTATTTGATCAAAAATACAATAAAAACAGTAATATTGTAAAATATTAAATATTAAAATAACTATTTTCTTATTATATATTTTAAATGTAATTTATTCCTGTGATGGCAAAGATGAATTTTACAGTCTTGAGTGTTACATGATCCATCAGATGGATCATGATGATTTGGTGCTCAATTTTATCATTTATTAATAATGTTTCTTATTATCATCAATGTTAAAAACAGCTGTTGTTGCTTAATATTTTTGTGGAAACTGTGATCATTTTTTTTCAGGATTTTTTGACTAACAGATCAATGGATTTGGATTAGTATTTATTTGAAAATATCAATCTTTCATAAAAAGACATTATGCCTTTCTTTACCGTCACTTTTGATGAATTTAATGTGTCCTTGCTTAATAAAAGTATTTAAGTATATAAAAAAATGTAATCTCACTAACCCAAAACTTTTGAATGATATTATATAATGGTTTCCACAAAAAATATTAAGCAGCAACAATGTTTTCTTGAACACCAAATCAGCATTATGATAATACTTCAGCTTTGCTATAACAAGAATAAATAAATTACATTTTAAAATATATTCAAATCGAAAACAAACTTATTTTATATTGTAATAATATTTCACGATATACTGTTTTTATTGTATTTTTGATCAAATAAATAGAGCATTGGTGAGCATAAGAGAATCTTTTCAAAAACATAAAAAATGTATTACTCCAAACTTTTGACCGGTAGTGTAAAAATGGATAAATGAACAACATAAAAAAATGTATTACAAGTTTCCATACTTACTTCAAAAATGCAGCGGAGATAGCAATTCTATCATCTGTCTGTTGGTCAATATTTGTAAAGAGCCCAAAACCATTGAAAACTGGGCTATGGCTTTTCTTTATGGGGCTGTTTGAAGGTGCAGTTGCAACTTTCTGCCAGGTGGTGGCACCTTTATTTGTAGCATTTAAACTCTTATGAGCAGGACTTGTCTCGTTGGTTGCAGAGTCAATCGATTTGTCATTAGTGACAGAGGAGCAAACCTGCAGACTTGTCCTTTTAGGACTAGCGTCATGGTTCGTCAAAACCTGAGAGTTCACCAAAGTCCTGTCTCCATCAGCATTCCCTTCGGCCGAAGAAGAGCCTCCCACCTGCTCTGCCAGAGCCCCATCTCCACCTCCTTGAGTTTCTTCGGGCACTGAGACATCCTGTCTTATATCTTTGCAAGTGCCTTTGGCAGACCCAGAGTTGGAGGAGGAAGAGTGGTGCGACTGGGGCGATCTCCCGGAGGATGACCTGTCAGAGCGGCGGGAATGGCTGCGGGGATGCGGGCTGTTGGACTGCTTCTTGGGAGAGCGTGAACGGCCCCTCTTGGGGCTGTTGGGGTAGTACTGCTTCTGTTGCTGCTGAGGGTACTGCCGGAAGTTTTGCCAGTTTTTGTGATGGTAGTTGTTATATCCACCCCTTCCACGCTGAAAACGGCCACGGAAAAATCCTTGACCTCGGCCCCGGAAGTAATACGGCCTCCGGAAGCCTCTGTGGTTGCCCCGAAACTCCCGTTGGTTCTGGTACTCCCGTGTTTGGTTCCGTTCACGGTTGTGGGGCGGGGAATGGGATCTTGATCGAGAGCGAGACCTAGAGCTTGAAGACAACAAGAGGAAGGATTGAACCAACAAAAATACTTGGGATGGAGAAAATGACACAAAGAGGCATTACATATGCATGCAAGGAACAAAATAAGAAGAATTTTAAATACATTTTTAAATAGATTTTTTCCATACAACTAGAGAGTGATCATGGGCTTTAAAACTCCAAATAGGTAAATAGAAATTCATTAAAGTAGTCCATCTTCTGGACTACTTCTTCTGGAGCTTTAAATCTCTGCGTGTGGAACAACATACCAAAGATTATTAGTACTCTTAATCTCCTCTGTGGATCTTAAATCAAATGTTAATCAAATGTAATTTGGTTATGATGTCAAGATATTTGGTTATGAGACACTTGAGAATGCATAAAGTTTGATGTTATTAATGTTCATAATTCAGATTAACACAAAATAATGACTTTAAAGGGTCTCTTCCTCACACAAAAGCTTAAAGGGTTAGTTCACCCAAAAATGAAAATTAAGTCATTAATTACTCACCCCCATGCTGTACCAACCCCGTAAGACCTTCGTTCGTCTTCGGAACACAAATGAAGATATTTTTGATTAAATTTGAGAGCTGTATAACTACCACATTGGCTCCTAAAGGACTGCCTCTTGACGGCCCAGAAAGTCAATGAAGAAAATGTTTAAATATCCCAAGTGACTACCGTGGCTCAACTATATGTTTATCAAGCGACGCGAATAATTTTTGTGCGAAAAAACAAACAAAAATAACGAGTTTATTCGACTATTTCTTTTCTTCCTTGTAGGCCAGAACGAGACTTCCTTAGATTTCCACGACGCATGCGCGAGATTTGCGATCTGCTCACATCAGCTTACACCACTTCAGATCGCAATTCTCGCGCATGCGTCGTGGAAATCTAAGGAAGTCTCGTTCTGGCCTACAAGGAAGAAAAGAAATAGTCGAATAAACTCGTTATTTTTGTTTGTTTTTTCGCACAAAAAGTATTCGCGTCGCTTGATAAACATATAGTTGAGCCACGGTAGTCACTTGGGATATTTAAACATTTTCTTCATTGACTTTCTGGGCCGTCAAGAGGCAGTCCTTTAGGAGCCAATGTGGTAGTTATACAGCTCTCAAATTTAATCAAAAATATCTTTATTTGTGTTCCGAAGACGAACGAAGGTCTTACGGGGTTGGTACAGCATGGGGGTGAGTAATTAATGACTTAATTTTCATTTTTGGGTGAACTAACCCTTTAAGCTAAAGTGGCAATTAATTTAGAATTTAGAAATTAAGACTATCAACTATTTAAGATCAGTAATTTGTGTATGTCAAAGAATTCTTTCAGGTAACAAACACTGCTGATATTAAAATCAAAAGAAATCAAAAGCTCTTGGTGCAAAGTCAACTGAAGCCATACGGTGGCCCTGTTGTTCTATTTATGAACAGCTCTAAGTAGTTCTGGACTCTTTGTAAGCCAGTCACTTTTAGCACGTCTTAACATATCCAACACTGATAATCAACTAAACAACTTGCACATCCAAGTACTTCATACTGCATTGCACCCTGTTCTATAGAAATTTGAATATAATCTCATTTGAGGAGAAACAGACACTGAAACGTTTCAGTATTATGCACACATCAACTGTATTGGAATTTCAAATCGCAGAAGTCATGCAATTATGTCTAGAATTGCATTAAGACATGCCAATCTATTGCAGTGGAATTTTTTTTTCATCATTTGGAAGAAACAAAGCCTCGCAAATGATTATCCAAGTAAATCACCCTGCAACCAATTTACCATCCAACAAACATAACGACAGTAACGCTAACCTACACTGATCAGATTTGACTGGTTTTCTACTCACCCTTTGCGTTTTTTCATTGGAATACAGAGTAAGAAGGTAGTGCACAGAGCAACATGATACTCTCACAGTGAGCAAGAGGGACTTTGCATCTCCTCTAGTGAGCGCGGATGGAAAGAGTCAGTCACATGGGTCATATGGGAAAGATTTCTACTTTCTTTCTACGGAGCAAAGAGGAGGTTCTCAGCCTGCCAGTTACAACACATTAGCTTTGCACAGAGACGGTAGACTCTGACTGAAGAAAACATTACAACAGCTCCCTCAATTTAAAAGCTATTTATCCACTCGTTAACTGAAGTTAAAATGAAAATGATGTTATTATTTAGTCACTCTCATGCTGTTTCAAACCCATATCATTTTCTTTCTTCTGGGAAACACAGAAACAGACATTTGAGTTAAACGGGTTGCACTTTTCCCTGTTATTACAATGAATGAAGTCTCAGGCATTTAATCTTTAAAAAGGGCACAAATGCAGCATAAAAGTTGTCCATATGAATGCACTGAACTGCAAAACTTCTTAAGTCATACCATAGCTTTGTGTGAGAAACAAACCAAATCTAAACCATTCTTATCTCCTATAGACCTTATGCACCAGAGAAACAAGGGCGCCACCATCTTTAGAATGTTGTCTTCCGTTTTTGCAGTCGCTCTGTATATCTCTATGGCACTGCTGTCCAGAAGTAATTCGCTTTTAAAGTGGATTTATTTAATGAAATGTTAACGAAAGCTATCACGAGGATTGTAATGTTTTAAAGCAGATGTCTTTACAAATGTCAGTAGACCGGGAAGATTTTAAAACGAGCTGTTCATTCATACATAAGCAAGATCACTGTGAAAATAATAATCGGTGAGTAATTGGTGAGCATTCTATATTTTTACGTTTATATTTATCAATGGAATTTTACATCCTGACACTCATGACCCATGAATTTTATTGGGACAGTTTGACTACATTCAGAACCATGCAGCAATTTTAAATTTGCATGGCATACATGTCAAGTTTTTTTCCAGCTGTGGCATCTCTGTTTTGAAACTGGTCGGCAATGAGAGCCCAGGCTCGCAATATTTCCCTTGCAAATAAGGGACATCAGATTTTGCAAATTTGCATGAAAAACCAACAATGTAGTTTCCGACTCAGCTCAAAGTACGCTGTCAACCACACAGGAAAAAGGATCCATGCTTATGGGGGGAAAAAATGCATCCACAATAAATGTAAAACAAAAAACCTGAGTACCACAAGTATTTATCCATTTGTGTCTAAAACAGTACAGTTTTTGGCAGGAACAGTTTACATTTGGCTACCTAAGAGCCTCTACTGTGCTGTAAGCACAAAACCAGCAGTCCTAACAGAATGTGCAGGGAAGTACAATTTTAGCATGAGAAATAAGAAAGTGCGGTGAGCCTTTCCAAAGCCACAGCCCTTCCCAAATATCAGACTTGACGCAATGCTGATGAATACATGGAGAAAGGAGAGTAAAATCACAGTGACTGTGCAGCCCCTTTTCAACAAGAGAGGAAGCCAGAGTAAAGGCATTATAAAATACAGGGTATTTTTATTTATGTACAGAGGTGTACCTTACATAACTTTGGCCTGGCAGCTGTGGCTAAATGGATGACACTGGCACTGAAATATTGTTTTTTTTTCAATGTAAAATGAGTCATGGATGGGAAACTGAGCATGAGTCACATGGCGTGTGTTTACAATAAAGTTCCATTTTGTGTTTACGTACAAAGTGAGAAGTTAACAGTTTTCCAATCAAACTCAATCCTTTCTGTCCAATCAAGCACATCTGTCATGACACAGTAAGCCTTTTTGTATTTAGATTTGTGCATTGTAGTATAGTCAGAATGAGTAGTGAAACTTCATTGTTCATCAAGCACAAGATTAAAAGCAGACCCAGATGGATTCTAAAGCCACGTTTTCTACGTTCATTTAAGTAGAATCGCGTACTGATTCCATCTGGGCCTGATTGCAGGACAGAAAAAGAAGCTACATGAGTCCGCATGGATTATTCAATAGTCAGTAAAATGTAAGTGATTACAGGAAATTAGTTTTTAAGTGATAATTTAATTCGTTTTTCCTCTTATTACGAAATATTACAAAATTTCCCTACTTTCCTATTCATTCTTTTATGTACTAAAATACACAACACGTCACTGAAAGTGATGACTGAAACTAAAAACTGAAAGATCGGACTGAAAACTGAAATTGAAAATCGAAACCAACTCCACTTTATCCCACACCAGCTTTGTACTGTGCAGTAAAGTGTGACGGTCTCATGTTTAATTGACAGTATTTTTTGCATGCCATATTAATGAATAAAGCCAATAGATGCTATTTAAATAAAGCCAATAGATGCTATTTAATTATCATAATGGTCACTTACCCATATCTGCGCTTTCTTGATCTAGATCTGGAACTGGAGCGGGAGCGGGAATAAGAACGGGATCTTGATCTGGAGGCCGATCGAGAGCGAGACCTGGACTCTGATTTTTGTGTCTTCGACATTGTCGTTTGTGGTCTCTCTCATATGTGGCTGTAACAAAACAAAAAGCATTCAGACCAGCAAATTACAAAAATTAAGATACTAATCATTAAGTAAAGAAAACTATTCATATAAAAGGTGTTATGTTTTTTTTACTTATTATTTCAGAAAAATAGCTAGGAAAAAATTGTGTTTATTTAGTGTTCCAAGGGCTGAACTTTAAAAACATTCTGTTGATCCCCACTCTTCAGGACATTAAGAAGGTTTGGCTGGGCAGTATTAAAGTTTCCATAGCTCATCACAGTTTGTCAGGCTAAAACACTAAAGGTTTATTTAAAGCCACAGCAGGAATTAATTGAGAAATAAGGAGCAAGCATCATTCTACAGGCCTGTTTTTAAAGGGATAGTTCACACAAAAATGAAATTTGGCTCATCATTTACTCACCCTGAAGCATAGGTGTACATGACATTCTTCTTTCAGACGAATACAATCTGAGTATTAAAAACTGTCCTGGCTCTTCCAAGCTTTATAATGGTTAATAGTTATATTTTTGGAAGTCCATCAAGCGCATCCATCCATAATAAAAGTGCTTGAAACTGCTCTGGTGGGGTTAATAAATGTCTTCCGAAGTAAAGCGATGCGCTCGTGTAAAAAAAACAACAAAAAAAAACATATTGACCAAATTTTACACTTTCACTAAAATTGTTTGTTTGAATTGTTTGTCAACTGTTTGTTTGAACTGCGAAAGGCGTCAAAGAGGCGTTATTAACCCTATCAGAGCAGTTTCGAGCACTTTTATCATGGATGGATGTGCTTGATGGACTTCCAAAAAAATATACCCATTGACTCCCATTATAAAGCTTGGAAGGGTGAGGGTGAGTAAATCATGGGCTAATTTTCTTTTTTTGGTGAACTTCTATCTTAATGTTTTCTGCCCAGAAAAAAAAAAGATTTCTGCCCAATCATTACAGCGTGCAAAAGAACCAGTTTAGCAATAATATGAACACAACAATATAATAATACTTCCGTTTTATACTGAGTGTACCTTTGTCTTTTATGGTTTTTAAATATTTTTCGGTTCAAATCAATGTTTGTAATGTTGTAATTCACCTCATAGCTGGCTGGTTTGATTCATGGCTTAAAACTCTTAAACAAATACTTTAATTCAATCCATATGGAAAAATGGGAATAGGAAAAACACTTCTGTAACCAAGGCCTCTGTAAAAGTTGACAGGCACTGTTGCACTCGATTAGGAAGTATCAGACTCAATGCAGACTCAGAGGGCCTCCTTTCCTTCCCTTCACCTCTACAGATACAACTTTTTCTATATAATGAATTTTTAAGGACAGATAGTTTGTTGAGGTCAATTTGTAAAGAAAGGCATGCCTGCGCGCATATAATTCAAATGCACATAGACAAAACACGTAATACGCATATGCACGCCGTCTGCATTTCTACCTAATCACGGGTTCACATAAGGGCTTTCTGTTAGAACGGTGTCGTGTAAGCGGCCCCTAAGTGAATAGCTAATGATCTTTGCAACAGAAGTGAATCAATCAAAAAAGGGAGGAAGCAGTACAGGTTTGGCAGGACAGATGTAAAGTGACACCACATTAGCATGAAAGCGAGAGTGATTTACTGGCTCTTTAAAGTTATCCCCAATGTATTTAAAGAGGTGTTGAAAGGTGATTCTGTCCATTGTCCATCATGTTTACCCTCCACAAATGCCCTCTCAACTGGTTAGCTGAACTCACACTTTGATTTTCACCATAGGGAACACTGGTGATCAAAGAGAGACAACACTAGGGCTAAAAATAGACTTGCACCAGAGATAAAGAGAGAGCTTTTGAGTTAACTGATGGATGTAAATATCCATATTATAATCTGGATCTTGACTGCTTGTCATCATACTTGTCACGATGACCTTAATCATGGATGCACACATGCTCATACCACCAGATCTGTGTTGGAACAACAATAAAAGTAGGAACTGTATGAATGTTAAAACCTAGTACTATTAATTAAAGTTACTAAACATAGATTCAAATCCAGAGTCCAGTCTAAGTTCATTTGCCAACTTTGCACTTAGAACTTTACGACACCATTAACTATTTGTTTACGGTGTCATGTGCCACAGAAAGTGGCAAGTGACGCATTGCAAACAGATAGTGGTCACTTAACTGATTCATTGACGTAAGGACTGTTGACGTAAGGATTTCAAGCATAATATGCATAAAAAAGTTCAGCTAACACCAAGAACCATAACTAATAATACTGATATAACATTCTGTTTCCTGCTTAAGCTCTTTTAAAGTCCCGGCTGGACTTTAGTGATGGAAAAAAATCACTATAAAAGTGATTCCAACAATATCGGGGTTTTTTTTTGTGTTGTTATTGTTAAGGTTTTGGTGTGGCAATTTTTGTAGGGTTACAGTGATTTTTAAAACTTTATGGAAGTAATTATTATGATTATCATTCTTTGTGTGAATGGCCCTTTTTGCATTGCATGATATCCTAGCAAATAAACAAGCCTCAAGATTAACTGGTATTTTTCTGGTGTGTGACGTGACGTGCAATTCATCCCGGCACTCCCGAAAAGTTATCTGTGAGCGTTTCCTTTTTGTGGCTCATCTGAAGTAGCTTTGCACACAGGAAATTGCAGACTGAATGCTTAAGCTACAATTCAGTGTGGTATCTTTGTGCATACAGTAGCATGCTAGTCTGAATCTGTGCTGCTGTTTTAGTAAACACAGACCGAAATTAACCTAAAGCCTTTTTTTATTCCTTTCGACTGCTTGTTGGTTTTGGCCAGCAGTCCATAATTTCCTGCAGCATCTAGACATCCAGACATTTGGCTTACTGTGCAAAGTTTCTAAATTACTTTACTTCTATATTGAAGAACTATGGGAACATACTCCAACGTTCAACCATTAAATGAATGTCAAAAGTATTTATATAGCTACATTCCAGTCAAAAGTTTGGAATAAATAAGAAATTTTAAATGTTTTTGAAAGTATCTTATGCTCACCAAAGCTGTATTTATTTGATCCAAAATACAGTAATATCCACTGTACAATCACGGCCTCTAAACTTATTTTTGGGCCAGAGTGAACAAGAAAATATTTGTAGCCAACTCTCAAACTTAGGATTACATCCTTTAAACATAGCTCAAGCTCTTTGTTCTTTTGTGGAAAATGTGATGAAAAATTCAGGATTCTTTAATGAATAGAAAGTTCAACAGAACAACATTTGTTTGAAATACACATTTTTCATAATAAGACATTATAATAATGTCTTTACTGTCATTTACTGTCAAATTTAACTTTTAAAAAAATTTTTTATCTTGCTTACTCCAAAACTTTTGAATGGTCAAAATGTGTCACGGTTTCCACAAAAAAATAAGCAGCAAAAATAAATAAATAAATAAATAAATAAATAAATAAATAAATAAATAAATAAATAAATAATAATAATATTAACATTATTTCTAACTGGAGTAATGGCTACCAAAAAATCAGCTTAGCCATCACATGAATAAAACAAATTTTAAAATATATTGTCTTCTTTATAGATTAATATACCTGTCTTTATAGATTAGCAAAGTTAGTTTCAGAGGCTTCAAATAGAGAAAGTAACATGTCGCCTGACACTTTAATCTGTAAACATTATGCTTTCCTTCTGCAAATGAGTCTGTTGACTCATAAGAATGGAGAAGTCAGATCATGACACATTTATGATAATAAATTAACAGAGGTTAAGAAAGTCTGAGGGATTCATTTAGTATCTTAGAGCAGCTGTCTTGTAATCCTCATTTTAGCTGATCCTCAATTTTCCTGAGGATCAATAAAGCATCTACGTGTCTAATTGTCTATATGGGAGTAGAGTGTGCTCCAGCCTAATCAAAAGGATTTGATAGCTAAAAATGTTTGTGTCAAACATCTCTGGTGGTCATACCCTTGTGCTGTCATTACAACCACATACATGCAAACACATCAGTGACAGCTGCATTTGGACCTCCTCATCTGTTCAATTAAGGGGGGAAAGTTTATTTAAACAATGGTGCAACCCAACACGACTGCAATATGTTCCCAACACTCAATCAGACGCTTTATCAGTGAGACCACAGATGCGACACCAACAGCACCAAAATCCCATTTGTTATCTGCATTAGCCAATGAGGCAAAAGAGGCACTTATCAACAGCCCCAGCAAATGCCACATTCTTCCGGAGACAACACATATGTGCGAAAACCTCTTTGAAGTTTACAGATGCATGACTTTTGGAGCCTACAGCTTCTGAGGTAAACATTTGATTGATTGTGGAGTTTCGAATCAATCTCTTCAGCGGCTCTATTAATAAATGAAATGCGGGTCTGTTGCGAGATATCACATGAACTTTAGAGCTTTATACTTTTTGAGTTGCTTCACTAAGCTTAAAGGGGTAGTTGCTCCAAAAATGAAAATCCTGTCATTATTTACTCACTGTCATAATGTCAGCATGATTCTCCTTTTTCCTACAAAGAAATAAATCTAGAGGCTACAAAGCTTCAGAATGCCAAATGTCAAAATGCAGCTCTGTCTTTTATGTTTTCTAAAGTCAAACGATATAGCTTTGTGTCAGGAATGACTTTTAGTTGTAAAAAGTCATCTCACTATTCACTGAACAGAAAAGAGTAGCGTGGCATTCTGAACAATTTCATTCAAAGAAGATATGAGTGTATGTGATGTATAGATGGATAGATAGATGGATGGATAGATAGATGTTTTTTTATTAATGATGCGCCTTTAACACATGGGGTCCAACACTGGGCCATCATCTTGTGATGACTTGTGTCTCATCTTACTGTCATCACTGCATCTGTTGATTTCACAAGGGAACTTCTAAAATTCTTCTCTATTTTAGTCTTATGAGAATTATGTAAAATATCTTATCTAGAACCAGGTCTAATGATAACACAGTAGTATGTTTGTAGTATGTTTGACAGATTTTTTTTTTTTTAAATGACTGACCAAAGTTTTCCAAATGAAACTAGTGAGCTACTGAAAAGGCAAGATGTTGAACTGTTATTGTTCCAAGAGCATGCTTCACGCAGCCAAAATGTAACTGTCTTGACTTACTTACACAATATAAAAATCCAAACACAAGTTGTGCTTAAATAGATTTTAGACTACTCAAAAAAATGTGCAACACGTGGTATGACACTACAATGTATGATCTGATTTATCACGCACCCTTTCACACATCAACCACTCATTCATCATTCATTTAAAACAAACCCATTCCCCTTGAACACTTTCCCAAATAAAGGATGAAGGATGATAAACATGAACTGTCTAAGCATTTCTATAATGAAACACACTCAAAATAATTGTGCAGTACAAAAGGAACAGTTAAATAATTGAAGCCATGCACAATGAAAAAAGAAGGCAAATGGATCACAACCCAGCAAACATTGGTCCGATGGTACCAGAGATGAAATACTGACAAAATAATACAGCTGATTGTAAACTGATGGTTTCAATTTGTATTCCAAATATTCAGGACATAATTTGTGGAACTATTGTTTTAATCATTCATGATTTATTTGCCAGTCCATATCTTTGAATAGGGTTTTATAATAAATAATGTAACTGTGATGCAACACTATTATCAAACTGTTTTCGTTTACCACAACAATAAAACTGGCAACTTGGCATCACTGTCATCAAACATGAATTAAACAATATGACAAACATGATAACACTTTTCTATACAGCTAATTTATTAAACATTAGTTAATGTATTAACTAACATGAACTAACCAACAGTAATACATTTGTTTTTGTTATCTTTGTTAGGCAAACGTTAGTTTTGTTCATGTTAGTTCACAGGGCAATAACTAATGTTGACGAAATATTAATAAATATGAGTAAATGTTGAAATTAACATTAACAAAGATAAACCAATGCTATAGACGTACAGTTTACTGTTAGTTAACTAATTTAGTTAACTAATGAACCTTATTGTAGTGTTACCACAGACACTGCCCGAAAGATCTTAACGTTATATGTTGAAGAAGCTGCAGGGTCAATTTTGTCGCCCACGTTTCTTTTCTATTCTAAAGTTTCTTTAAAAACACTTACCTATACTTCGATTAAGTCCAGGATGAGAAGATTCAGCTAATGTCAAATTTTTCAGGTCAGTGAAACGGTTTCCTTTCGTTTTGGGGGGGAAAAAAATCGTTATGCGCAACTAACTAACGTTAACTATTTGAAATCATCCTCGCATCAAAGACGGCAATATCCAGGTTCCGTCATCGGCGTTCAAAACGGTGTTACTATGTTACAAACAAACGTTGTGATTAGCCTATATTTTAATTCCAAATGACAAACGTGTCATTTTAAGTCGTAACCAAACTTGTCACACGTGAACGGTGAACTATTCAAGTCAAATGATGTAAAGCAGCTTTATGTCCTCAGTCACAGACTGGGGGGGTGTGCGAGGCAGCGTGGATACTACAGGCGGCGCGAGTCAAATGCATTCTACTGTCAATCAAATTAGGGCTGACAGCTAGCCACGCCCCTAGATGAGTTAAAGGAACAGGCGCGCTTTTTCAGATTTAGGCTACACAAGAATTGGTGAAATCAGCTTGGTGAAATTAAAGGGCTGCCAACTCTCACGCATTTACCATGAGATTCATACAATTGACCCTGTTCTCACGCTCTCATTCCACACCCCCGATTTCTCACGCTGAAGAAGTGTCAATCCGGTTGGTCAAATGCCTGAAAGATGAGTTTATCTATAGATCTACCTGTTGAGCCACTCCTCGACTAGTTATACGGCAAATTAAAATGTCCCGTAATCTAGTGCGGGTGTGCATGCAAGACAGAATATTGTGCTCGAAACCGCGCGCACGGCAGAGAGGTAAGCGAGCGAGAGACCTTGCGTAACCTTGAGTGTAGCTCCCCCCTGCAGAAAATTGTAGAAATTTAAAAAATTAGACAATATATAAATGTTAGACAATACATAAATGCAGTTTAATTGAATTGAATGACCTAAATTGAATGTTTAACAATTATACATTATTGTATGTAAATTGATACAATTTACAGTAAAACAGTGTTGCACACATTTAGGGTGATTGAAATGCCATGCAAAAACAAAATATGCAACAAGATAAAATGCAAATCTTGTTGTTTCATGAAAGTGGTGTAGAGATTATTTGAATATAGATAATCTCGCTTCATGTCAAGCCCAGTTGCTGTTGACCATGCCATTTCTAAACATTTGACCTAATATTATAACATAATATTAATCCATTTATTTACTGTTTTACACTCCCTCCCACCTATATGAGAGAAATCAAGATGAAATGATCATGACTGAACAGCTGAAAAAACAATGAATAACCGTATGCAGCCATGAAGTGTATTATTTATTCTTATTAATAACATTACTTTTCTTCTCATTAGAATTCATTGTGTCATTCATTTTGACACTAGACCTGTAAATTCAGGAAATAAACATTGTGTGAAGCCCAAGGGTTGTGCCAAACCCTCTTACTCCTACGTTTACTTTTGCAAAGGAAATATTTAGCCATGTGTGTTTGGGGGAGTAAATCCATCCAAACCATGATGTGTGGTCCTTAAGTTTCAACAGATGATCACAATCAATCAAGAGAGAAAACTACAAAAAAAAAAAAGTCTTATTTGTTTGTTCATGATAAAAAGTCAATGATGAACTTATTGACTAAACTGAATTGACTCTACTCAAACCAAATATGGATGCACAAATTGTGAGGTATTTGTTGACAGCAGCATTATGACAATGTGTTCAATGGTTATTGAAATGAGAATTTTATTAGGATGAACATAAAGAATATAATGGATACAAGACCTTCTGAACCTTAAAAAAAGCAGCAAATTTGTTCTTGCAAATTCTCTTTATTTTCAAATGGAAAGTCTGCCAAACCCACACAGCTGACATACGTATATCAACAGCCAGACTAAAGTTCAAACAGTATGTTTCTACTGTATTCTCTGAATACATATGCTGAAAATGTAAAAAATAAAATAAAATAAGATTTCCTTAAATGGCCTGATTTTACCAGTTTTGGCTCATTAGAGTGTTTTGGTAATAATATTACAATGTGTTTTAAATCTTAATATTAATTTGACTTGTGCTTAAATTAAATTAAGTTTAGGCCAGTTTTCTCCTCATTTTCAGTCTCTTTAGCCTCCCACATTTTAAGGGAATCTGCTGGGTGTGAACTGCACATATGAAGCACATTAGCTCTCCTTATTTAAGATGGGATAGATAATGCTCTCTCAGTGACACCTACTATATATATATAGATGACCACACACATTATCACATTAGGCAATGCTTCTTATTACGCAAACAGATACACTGTAAAAAAAAATTGTTGGTTCAACTTAAAAAAGTAAGTAACCTGGTTGCCTTAAAATTTTAAGTTGATTGAACCTGAAAGTGAGTTAATACAATGAAGGAGATTGATTTAATCATCAGAAACTCAAAATAATAAGTTATCTGAACTAAATAAATTAAGTAGATTTGACAAAAGAAAAAATGTTGTGATAACAAATCTTGAAAATATTTTTTTACAGTGTAGTGATTAAGTTCATGCTGTCCATATAGTTTTGACAGTTGTGGTGACAGCCCAAAAATACACTGAGTCTGATCTGGTGCTAAAAATATTAGTGGTGGGTGCACACAAAATTTACAAATGGAGACTTACTTTGAGCTGTCGATTTCACAGATTTACTGAATCTTAGAGTCAAAGGAACAAAGGTATATATTATAAAACCTGAATAAGTTTGCCTGATGTGACTCAGCAGAGATAAAACCAATTGATTTCATTTCTTTTTAATAACTCAGAATGTATTTCAGCTGTCTGACACATATGATAACTATTAAATTTGTGTACTTCAATACGGTCCTTAACAATGACCAGCAGTATATTACAATACCTCAATGGACAGAGCATTTAGGGAGGAAGAGAGCTTGTGCCAGTGTTGTTTTCCCAGCACATTTTGATTTGTTACAGTCTTCTTTTGCCAGTGTTTTCATGATTGTGGCTTTTATAGCATTTCTGACCATCTGTTAACTGTTACATCAGGTTGGTGTGATAGCCAACACAGAAATACACTAGGTCCCATTGTTTTTTTTTTATGCGTCGTTAGTCACAAATGCACAAAAGGTCTGTGAAAATATCAGTTTCAGTGCACATGAACTGTTGATTGGCTTGTGGTTTTGATGGATAATTAAATGTTCGCTTGTCATGAATTTACATCCGAGAACTAGCTTGAGAGAAGCAGTATTATTAATCGTGGTAGTCTATCAATGCAGAATAAATATGCATGCTAGGGACAAACTGGAACAGGTTTTCATGCATCTGACAAGATTTGCTGTTATTCACTGTCTCAGAGGTGTATTTTGTCAGGGTTTTTTTTTTTTTGGAAAGAGGACACAAAGCATAATCCATAATTGCATAATCTCAGCTTCTATTATGCAACACCATAAGAAGTGAACTGGGCTTAACGTATGGGGTGAAAGGCATTTCGCACAGTATAGAGATGTATAGAGAGAAATATTACCACATTAAAATGGTGGATGTCAAGCAGTTATGCAACACAGAATATTATGGCAATCGATATAATGCCAACAGGGAGTTCTGGAACCGGATAATAGGCCTCTTCTGTTCTTCTGGTTTGAGTCCAACCAGATGAAACTGTGAAGAGAGATTTCTTGGAGGCACATTTTGCTTCACCCATGGAAAATATGGGCTTTCATGGCTTGCTTAATGAAAATCATATCAATTGAATGCTGTTTTGAACAGTTCACTGTTTGGATCAGCTAAATTACCACCTCCAACTATTTTGCATATTGTTTTCCATGCAATTACAATGAGCAGGGACTAAACTGTAAGGCTTAAAAAAGAAGCAAAAGCTCCATAAAAGTATCAAGTAATGGTCCGCATGATATGCGCTATGAACCCATGGAGGTGTTTGGTTAATGCTGAAGGTGACCATATGGAATCCATAAAATAATAATACTAATAATAATAAACACTCAAAGCATATTAATATCAAAATTGAAAATACAGTGGAAACAAAGACACCTACATCTTGGATGCTCTTGAGGTAAGCTAAAACATATCAAAAATTAATTTCAAAGTGAACTATCCCTTTAAGTGTTCTCTCTTGCCCAGTAACATGCTGCCTATTGTGTTCACCCTCTGTGGCACCTGTTAGCAAAAGAAATGATACTCAGTAACAGGCCTGTGCATGCAAGCTTCCAACACCTCCAAGATCGAGGAGGTCAACTTCAAAGTGTGTGCTTTGAAAATTTAAATGTACTAGGCTATATGGATTAGTCGAAGGGGATCATAAAAGGACAAGCAGTGATTAAACAACTGAATATGATTTCTTAATCACCCATTAGCTTATCCGGTAAACTGTTTAATACTTTTTGCTAGTATTAAAGCTGAAAGATTGCTCAATCTCATTCAGTACTCTTGTTTCTGATACTAAAAAAAAAATAAAAGACTGTGGAACAACCATTTGCACCTGACATCAGAGGAGGTGACAGCTATTTTCAATCTATTACCACGTTCTAGTCGCTTCGACAGGATGCGAACCGTGTCAGTCCGCACTGGTCTTGTCAGCACTAATGGAAGTAATCTGAGAGCGTGGCACAATTTTAAGGTTTTATCATTGTTTAATTGGAATCATCAGGCTAGAGTGATGACGGGACAGATCAAACTAATACACATTAGTTACTGCATTTTTTTTTTTTTTTTTGGATGAAAATATGAGTGCAAGTTTAGATTCTGAGTGTTGGATACATTTCTCATCAGTCTGTGCGAGACACCATATGTTTTTGAAATCAAGATTTGTGAAAGTTCACAGCTCATTGCTGAAATTCGGCATGTCGTGTAAGACTGCAAAGTGTGCCAAGACAAGCAAAACTCAAATTTTGGTTCACCTGGAAATACACTGTTACCAACAAACCTTAATCAAACAGGTCTGTATCATTGCATATAATTGCAAATACTGTATTGTGCTGCTTTATTTGATATTCAAACCCAATAAGCAAACACACATCCCTCACATAAATGCTTGGTATTGAGGCTGGGAACATTTTTTTTTTTTTTTCGAATACGGTCATAGCTTTCAAAACTAGATTACATTTTTAAAAGTTCTGGTCAAAGTATGGATGGTTTTAAAACATGTCTGACATGGAATTATTTAAACTCAAATGTTGTTGTGCTATTTAAAAACAGGCAAGCTACGACAGTATCCAGGACTTTTCTATGTTTTTATTGTTTCTGCGGAAAGTCTGGAACTCTTCCATCTACTTGTCTCAAAACTTAAAGCAGTATTTAAAATGTTGTTGGTTATGTCTCTGGGTGTAGTTCATATTTGAAGTACATCTCTCTATTTGTTTGTTCAGCTCTGTTATAATACCTGTAACTGCACCACA